GATCATGCTAGGCCAACCTTATTGGCTTCTTTGATAAAGTGACTAAATTAATGTATCAGAGAAATGCTATGGGCAGAGTGCACTTGACTTCAGTAAGACATTTGATGTAGCATACTTCTTGGTAAGATGGGGATAGACAGTACCACCACAAGACTGTTTGACCAACTGCACCCAACTTGTAGTCCTGGATGGAACTACATTTACATGGAAAGAAGCACACAGGCCGGAGGGTTGGACTAAACCATGGAGCTAAATCATGATGAACAGTTGAGGGAGCTAGGTATGTCAAGCCTATTGATAAGAAGGATTAGAAGGGGCATGATAACTGTCTTCCAGCACTTGAGGGGATGTCATAGAGAAGAGGAAATTGACATATTCTCTGAAGCACCAGAGGGCAGGAAAAGAAGTAATGGGTGGAAGTTTGTTAAAGAGAGATCCAACCTAGAAGGAGATATTTTTTGATAGTGAGAACAATTAATGGAATAGCTTGCCTCCCAGAGTTGTGGGTGCTCCATTACTGGAGGTTTTCAAAAACAGACTGGACAACCATTTGACTAAAATGATATAAGGTCTCCTGCCTTGAGCAGAGGGTTGGACTAGAAGACCTCTAGCCCTATGATTCTGTTCTGTATCAGTTAATATCATGGTCAGAGCAGCTCCTCCTAGGAATAGAATAAATATCTCCATTTTAGGACTGGCAATCCTATACTAATTTTTTTACCTCAGCCTATTGCCTTGCAGTCTAGGAATTTCTTGGCTACTTAAGCAAACTAGTACTGTTGTTTATTCTTCCAACCTGAATGATCATCTTTCCATTTCTTCACCTGTTGTCCTTGCAAATAATTTACCTCTCTTTATGGTGGAGTTTGAGAAATACAATTTAAACAATGATTGGCTAGAAAAATAGTATATAAGTCAAGAAGATCCATTGCCTGGAATTTAGATTATGCAACTTGTGAAGGCAAAAAAATATGTCACCATTGCATTGAGAAATGCAGTTGTAGGCCTTCATGGTGGTATAATGGTTAAGGCTCAGGCTAGGACTTGGGAGACTCAAGTTACATTTACCCATCATCTTAGATATTCACTGGGTGATCAAGCCAACACACCTGAACCAAATTAAGAAAGTGGGAAGTACAGATTTCAGTAAACTATCATTAATGCTAATCTCAGATAACTGTAGACCAGGGGTGTCAAACTGCCAGCCTGCGGGCTAGATACATCACGCGGAAGCCGCGCCTACCCCATTGCCAGGAATGGCAAAACAGTCCCGATACATTGTGCAATGTCACGTGATGTCACGAGTTTGACATGTCTGCTGTAGACTCTTGGAAGCTGCAAGAAAAACTTCCAAGCCTATGTCAAACAGTTCACTTAGGTGGAATCTCTTTGAATGATCTCAAATGCTTCTTTCAAATATATATTGCCACCTGGACTGAGTTGTTATTTATGAAATAAGCTGCCAACAGATTTGCCTAATATCATAAGTGTTTACTCCCATCTCTGTGCATTTCTTACTCTCCCAGATAAATCTACCTTATAGGCTTGTTCTTAAGGAAAAATATTGCAGGACATCTCCAGCTCCTAAAGGAAAGGTGGGTAATTACATTTTATTTTTAACAAATAAAATAAATGAAGCAGGAACTGAAGGAAGAAATCTCAGAGATGAGCTCACCATGTCTGATTATGATTTCTGGATAATGGCAGCATCAATGACATTTCCTTAACTGCTTGCAAATAGATAAATTTTTGACTTAAGCAAATAATATCAAATATTTCACACTTCAATAATTTAAACATATCAATCTTGATTAAGCCAAGTAATAGCTAACTGTAAGAATGTATACCTTCAAGCTACAGTAAATATATAATTAACACTATCACATTTAAACTGAATGACTGCCATCAACAATGAAAAATAATATTTTTGCAAGTAGAAAATGTTCTTTAACAGACTATATGAATATTCTGACCTATAACTATTTACAAAAATGAAAAAGAGGATTTCAGAAGGAAAAAGCACAACTTCTGAAGGCTTCCAGTAAAACTTCATATTTCTTGTTGATCTTATAGCAATCTTCAAATTTAAACTAATATTTCAAAGTAAAAGCGAATGTTACATAAACATGGATTTATCTAAATACTTTATTCAATCTTTAAATAAAAGGCAGAAGGATTCTTTTGAGGAGAGGAACGTTATAAGGAAACTATTCTAAATAATTTGTAATATGTTATGTACATTTTTTTGTGGTTTGTGACTGTTATAAAGACTAGATACTGGAACAAATGCCATGTACACATTTGAAGCTTAATAATAAGAAATTATTAATCATGCTTATCATGCATTGTGGAAACCTGTGTTTCATGATAAATTTGGCCAATCTGGCCAGTGACAAATCATGAGAATCTGTAGAATCATGTAGTATAGCCATTGCAACATTATGCCTGCTGGACAGGCATGTCCATAGTATTCAATGGCTTCATCATTTTCATTTAGGTGGTAACAAAATTAATTTGGATTTCAACATATTGTATATCAGTGATGGCGAACCTTTTAGAGATCGAGTGCCCAAAAACTGGCCCCGCCCCTGCCCTGCCTCCTGCCCCGCCCTGCCTGCCTGCAGGGTCACTCACCGCCTCCAGCCCAGCAGCACCATGGCAGCCACGCCTTCTGCCCGCGCTCTGCAGCATCAACTGTGCGTGTTGGGCCATGAGGGCAGAGTCTTGACTACGCTGCCTGGCTGCCATGTCCTTGGCTGCGCTGCTCCACATGGGCCACGCTCAGGGGTGACTCTCCTCCAGGGTGAGGAGGGGGCGCGGGAGGAGGTAAGGCTGGGGCAACGGCACGTGTGCCCAGAGAGGGCTCCGAGTGCTGCCTCTGGCACCTGTGCCATAGATTCGCCACCACTCTTGTATATAATACAGCTCCTGAAACCAATTACAGATTAGTTATTATCTGAATTGGACTGGATTCAATGGGTCTACTCTAGATATAACTTTTTGGATCTGAGCTAATAGGCATGATAAAACATGCTTCAAAGCCTGGTAAAACCCAGATGCATTTACCTCACATATTAAACTTCATTCCAATTTATTTTTGTAAGTCTTGGGGGGGGGCGGGCTAAGCAGCATTTTGGTAATTTTGGCTAATCCAGAAACATTTAAACAGCAGGCAACCTGACTAATGAATGGGAAACTATCAAAAAACCATCCTTAAAAAAGGCAATGGCAAATCACTTCCAGGCTGACACATATGAGAGTTTTCAAACCATGAAAAACAGACCAAATCTGGCAATTACAAATACATGGGAGACTTGAAAAAAGAACACCAACTCAGTGGTGGGGATTAAGCAATGAAGTATTACATAGCTAGGGGAAAATACGCAGTTCTATTTGAACATTTCTATATATAAGGCTTGTTTTTAAATGGCAATTGCTTCAGACAGGAAGGCAGTGCAGAGTGGTGAAGATGGCAGTTCCCTCCCTTCCATCCAGGACATAGCATGTAAGCATTGCTTGAACAGGGTCCGCAAGATTGTCTGGGACACCACACATCCTCTTCCTTGTTACCTTCTGGGAGGAGGTTCAGTGGTATCCGAAGCAGAACATTCAGATTCAGTCTCAGCTTTGTTCCATACAGTATTAACCTTATGAAGTCTAAAGCTTCCTCCTTCCCTTATGTATTCAAGATGGACAGTGAATATTTATATGTTACTTATATGTAAGGGTATAGGTCTATACATATGTTGTATATAGTATGTTTTAAATGTGTTATGTATGTGTACACTTTGAGAGGAAGCAACTAAATTTCATTTTTAATGTGACATTGTGCCCACAGGAAAAAATGGTAATAAAGGTTATCTGTCTATCTAAAATTCTTTTGGCTATTGGCTTCCTAATTTTCATTTTGCTTTAGTTCTTGGATTTCATGTAAACCTCCTTGAATATAGTAATTCCAGTGCGGTCTCTTTGGGAATACTCACATCTACCAAGTCACAAGAAGCAGAGCTCAACTCCAGAGGGATTTTACCTCCAAGCTATATAAATGCATCCGCTGGAAGAGTTTATGATTAGGTTGCTAACTCGAAACCCGAAGCTGGGGAGACACTACTGCCCCTTGGCTTTTTTCCAAAGGTAACAAGCCAGCTTTGCTTCACTTGCTCTCCCTCCTGTTTGTTCTACTAACTGGGGCCCCTCACCTCTGCCCTAAAACTTGCCACGACGGCACCAACAGCCGTTCGCGATCTCACGAAGTAAACCCAAACGGGAGGGGGGGCGCGAGAGGACTCCCGTCAGTCAGGATTACAACGAAAGAAGCCTCGCGCTAAACGGTTCCTGCTGTCATAGTCACGCGGAGGCTGCCTGAGGCCACGTGCCGGATCAGCAACAAACGCCCACGTGGTCCCACAGCTGCGCAGAGCACTTGGCACTGCGCTTGCGCCAGGCTAACTAGAGGGCGAAAAGTATTGGATGGCGTTTTTTAACAATTTGAGCGAACAAAATGTGATATAGAATTGCATATTGCCTTTTAATGTGGAAACAGCACAATTCCGATTAGCAAACAAGTGATAGCGCTAACTCCTTTACTTACGCCTAGAGAACTATGCTGTTCTACGTTTGAACGCAGGAGTATAATGGTGGCATTTTCATTATCTTAACCATTTCATTATGTTAACCGTTTTCAAGTGGTTAATAAGTGGACATACAAACCACCCAGCTATGATATTTATAAACGCGACAGGAAACATCAAAAGCAAAAAGTTCCAAATTGTAAGCCATAGGCGTGTTGGATATCCTTTTTCTGATTTTATAGCGGGTTCCATGAGTGCTGTGGATTAGTTACGGTGACGAAATATATAACCAATCATTTAGGTTTAGGAATCAAGTGGGTGGGACAATATGCACTTTAACTTGAAGGACTGTATTTTTAGCGAATTAGAGAAAAACCAGGAGGAAAAAAAAGTCGAAAGGTTCAAGTTTAAAGCAATATACGTACTTAGCTTCACCAATAAGACACTGGATGGTTTACACACCGTCCAATAATCATCACAAGCTTACAAGGTGGAGTTAAAATTGATAGACATAAACTTTTAACCATTGTATCGTGGGATAGTTAAGCAGTTAGCCAATGGAAAAGAGGGGGAGGCGGGAGAAAGGGGAAGGTCGTATTAAAGACAGCCAGGAAACTAAACCAATGGACTTGAGCGTTATTGCAGGGCTACCAATAGGCGACTCGGAAGGCGGGCCTCTTATGTGTTTAGGTTCGTGCTTCTCCAGGGAGTGAGACGGCGGCGACTGGGAAAGTTTATTTTTTTTGGAGGCGGCGTTTCCCCTCCTCCCCCTGCAATTTGTTTGGATCTTGAGATAAGCTGGTAAGGCGGGTAAAGCGGCTCCTGCGAAGCGCCAAGGAGCAGGCGGTGGGCTTCGCGGCTGCACCGCAGCGAACGGAGAGGCGACGATCGTAGCTTCTTATGGGTGAGTGGGGACGCAGGCCTCGGGGATACGGTCTGTCTTCGTTTCAGTAGCCGGGCGTCTTGAAGTAACGCCATGGAGCCTTTCCACGGCATCCTCGCCATTCCGCCGGGAACGACATAAATCCTGAACGGAAACGAACGGCTGCATCGCTTTCATTTCCCCTCCCTTCCACTCAGTCGCGAGTCGTATTTTTCACTAGGGTTTTTTTTTTCGTAACAGGAGGGTTTTTCTTATTTATCGTCTGTAGCTGCAAAAGCTTCCCTGAATCGGAGCTATTTGGCTAGTGCTGGGGGGGGGCGGGGGGCTATAGAGGCGTTTCCGCAGCTGCGCGTGCGCACTGACGGCTTATCTGAGGGTATTCGTAGTAGATCGAGTACTTAAAGAAACGGTTCCCCTCCCCCCCCCGCGACACCTTTTTTGTGGGGTGAATGAGCTTCAACACCGGAGGAAAAGTTTCCTATAGAACCCATATTGAATAGCTTCCCGCTTGGAGGAGTAGTGAAAGGAGCTAGAGGTTTGCAAAATCGTCAGCAACATACCGGCTCTTTCGCGGTTTCATCCGCTTCTGGACCCGAGTTTTGCACGTAGGGCTATCAGTGAAGTACGGGAGTTGCTTCTCAAGCCAGCCGAGTACCCTGAATGTTGGTGTAAAGTCTTATTTATAGCACCGTTGGTTGCAGCAATCCCCAGTCCTTTAAATACGGCGTGAAAAATGATCCTAAAAGATATAAATGTCATCGCCTGGCTCTCTTTCTGTTTCCTTCTTCCCCTCTTCTATCAACAAGACACTCGCTCCACCAAAGGGCTAGTCGCTGCCTCTAGTGTAGCTAGTTTAGAGTATTACCTTGTAAATATTTGGTCCTGCTAAGAAATATTGGAACTGGTACATTGAAGGCAGCATGTTTCTCTCAGTTGTACTAACGACATGGAAAAATGAAACTCATAAAATCGTTTAAATGTAGCACTATAGAGTCATGCTGGATCAACATATGCAGATAATGGGATGATAAGAAAGAAGTGTAACAAACGTCTGATGAGTTCCTTCTGATAATATTAAATGTTTGCTGAGGCAAGATTACTACCTGCCATGAAGAAAAGTGACCCTTTGGGTGCTCTTTTTCCCCTTGTGATCAGTAATATGGTGTTGCACCATATCAATATAATAACTAGTACAGTGGTGGTGAAACTATGGCATGGGTGCCAGAGGCAGCACTCGGAGCCCTCTCTGTGGGCACACGTGCCGTTGCCCCAGCCTTGCCTCTGCCCGCAGCCCCTTCCTCACCAGCAACCCCCCTGGAGGAGAGTCGCCCCTGAGCGTGGCCCACGTGGAGCAGCGCAGCCAAGGACAAGACTCTGCCCTCAGGGCTCAACACGCACAGTTGATGCTGCAGGGCGTGGGCAGAGGGCATGGCTGCCATGGCGCTGCTGGGCTGCCTGGGCGATCTGCGGCGGGCCCTGGAGGCGGTGAGTGACCCTGCAGGCAGGGTGGGGCGGGGCAGGAGCGGGGCCAGTTTTTGGGCACTCGGTCTCTAAAAGTTTTGCCATCACTGAACTAGTATGAAGGTGCAATTTGGAAATTACTGGCTGCATTGGCTAGCTTTAAAAAAAAATTAAGGGGAAGATTCACCTGAAATTGAAGAATCAGGTTGTGTTAGGAAGAACATTTAGTATTAGCACAGTTCCCTGAAAACCAGAATGTAAAGCTAGTATTTGCTATGTTAGCAAAGATTAAAATTGATATCAACTTTAAGGGATAATAACATCCCTTAATTATTGCTAAATATGGAGTGAAAGATTGTAGAAAATAATACACATTCTCCTGTGTTGCTTAGATAAGAATTTGTTCTTTGCTTGCATTTGTGTTATATGCTATAGAATTCTGTAATTGTCTTTTAGTCATATAACATAATTGGAATCACTTTGGCAGAAAATAGCTTTTAAAAAACTTTCTGGAATGCAAAAAATGTTTCTTAAAAGATCAAAAGGTTTGGTTAAAAGAAGCAACTTGCTTATGAATCTAAGTACAAATTAAAAACGATATCTAAATCTCAAAATACAAATGTGCTGCTATGAAACTGTAGTTTTTTCTCTATATTCTGGATCATCTATGTTTCCCTCTTCTTTTACTTCCATTATTCTGTGTAATGGTCCACATTACCATTACACAGAATCACCTTACCAAATTGGAATTTCCCACAATTTTTCCTATATCAACTTTCTGTTCAACATTGCCTATCCAAATCCCATTTTTCTTATTCTTTGTATGTTTGGTTATGTCATGCTGCTTCCTCTTACTGATTCATCCTGCATACTTCTCAGCTGTCCCTAGTTGCTCTGATACCATCCCAATTTACCCTTCTTCCCAAGCAGCAGTAATAGAGTTTTTCTTTTTGTTGAAGGAAAGAATTGCTGATCTCCACAGATACCCGTCATTTTACTTTTTCAGCATCTATATGGCCTTCCTGGATTTTGAGGCAATCTGTGGGGTGACAGGTTTTTGAAAAAAATCTCTTTAGTTTGAACTTATTCCTAAGTTACCTGATGATTAAAAAATAAAATGCTCATAAATATCACAATGTGTTTCATGTACAAAGGGAACATTAGTTATCCCAGTCTTAAACCTTATAGTGTGTAAATTATAAAATGTTTAGAGTAGCCTTCTCTGACTTAGAAAATTTTATGAATCTATCATATATCCATATGTAAAGCAAAGAGAAAAAATGTGCTAACATTGAATTTATAGTTAAATGTAAATGCGTTTTTGATTCTTAAACGGATTATATAAAATCTGTAGATAATTGAAGCTGCTTTTGATGAGACCAGGATTTTAATGCAGGTAAAAATTTAGATGATTTATTGGTTTGTTTTACAGGTACATACCAAATTATGAAGTTAATGGTTTCTTTTGAAAAATGTTATCAGTTAAACTCCTGTTATACTAATTAAGATACATATAGGATACATTTCTTGTTATCCAATATGATTTTGTCAACTTCTATAAGTACATGCATTTCCTATGCTGTGTTTTACATTTTCTCAGTCAGGAAAAGCAAATTTTGCAAATGCTTTTGGATGTTTTTTTGATAGAAAGCATCTATCTAAGGGAAGTTTTTACTATAGCATTACTAGGATATAAAGATTTTTCCACAGAATTACTTGCTATGTCTATATATGGTAGTCTCTCTGTTTTGCTTAACTCATGCATGTGCTCCCTTGCTGTGCAAAGGGAATGACAGTATTGGTGACAAAATAGTTGTCTTTTGATTGATTTTCCAGGGACTTCATTCTCATTCTCTCTCTGTTTCTCACTCACACTCAAATAGACAGTGGATTGGATTCAAATTAAATTTAAGATTAAATGTTTTTAATGTGAACATTTTACTAGTAGTAATCCTCCCTTTCATACTAAAAGCCACAATTTGGCAGCAATGTTTAAAGATCCATAATAGCTGCTTTTGGAGGGCTTTATGTGGCCCTGGGACTTACACCTCTGTAGTAATAAGCTATAGCAATTTATATGATGTGTTTTACATAGATCAGAGTATATTATAGAGATAAAAGTACGTAAGATTAAGTATCACGTTGGTTAAATCACTATGCCTCTAGTACAGTTATGTTTTAAAAGTATGGTTAACTATACAACAGTCCTTTACAAGATGGGCAGCATACAAATCTAATAATAAATAAAAGATGTATCTGACTGAAAGTGGACTGAGATGGTTATTTCTGTATTCTGATTTCTGCTGTAATTGCTGAAATGGACCAGCCTTTTATTTGTGGTTGATAATTACTGATTGATTAGATTTTGATTTCATTTAGTTTAGGTGTTGCACAACTTCAAACAGATTTGGGTAACTTGTAATATTATCAACAATGAAAATGCAATACAAAAATTGGGGATCCAGTCACATAGTACATAGTTCTGAATGGTTTTCAGGGTTGCCTTGAATAGTTCTGATCTCTGGAACAGGAACTTCAATTTGATTCTTATTAATAGCATTTTGCCAACTGCCATTCTGAGTTCATATCATGGCTTACTATTTGGCATCTTTACATTGCTTTGCTTATTCTTTTCTGCTATGGGATATAAATTAGTTCTCCAATATGTAGAACTTTCTGCTTTTAATAGCCATTCTATATTTTACCAGAGTAATTATTATTGTACAAGATAGTCCTTAACATACGACCAGATGCTTAAAGATTGTTCAAAGTTACCACTGACTTGAAAAAAGTTACATATGACCTGCCCTCAAAGTTATGACAGCAGTCACATGATTGTATTTTGAGCACTTGGCAACTGACTTGAATTCACAATCAGTAGGAGTGACCTATAGTCATGTAGTTGCACTTTGCACCATTTTTTGCCATTTTCTGAGGAAAAAATATCTATTGGATAAACTGGATTTGAGCATACAACCGCATGATTCACTTAATGACAATGCTGACTCACTTAATAACTGTTGTAAAACAATTGTAATATCAAGTCCAATCACATGATGACTTGTGACCACAATGCCTTATGACCAAACTTCTGAGCTCAATTATGGTTATATGTTAAGGATTACCTGTATGGCAATTCATAAAATAGTAATGTAGTGCATAAATGTCTGTCTTTATGTTTCTTTTTCCAAATCAACAATTGTGTTACTGTTGTCTTTAAGGTGAAATGTATAGTACAGTACTTGTCAAAATAAAACTAATATTTATTGTGGTGCCTTGTTATTTCAAAAACTTTTTTAGAGTTGAAACAACATTAATAATGGTGAAGTGTTATTATATTATAATTGTTCCCTTTTTATGAACAATAGAAAACAATAGTTTGTTTTTGTTTTTCTTTCTACAGTAATTTGATTTTTGCACTGAATGTAGCCAGGACAGGTCCTAGTGGGCTTCAATAGCCCTAAGAAGCTATCAAGGTAAATTGATTAAAATACAAATATATAACTGCATAAAGTCGAACATATGGAAAATATGTAGACAACACTGATTTTTATGTTCATTTCAGATGTGATTTTTTTTTTGCTGAATATATTGATTATAATTTAAAAGTGTTCCACAGAAGAGTTGTTTGTCAGTATAGAAATACTATTCTTTAACTTTGGCTATATTGAGTGAATACAAAGATTTTACTTAAGATAGATCTCCCGATCAGTATTAACGTATTAAAATGATACAATCATTCACATAATTATTTTGCTCAACAGCTGAAATGGTGTAGTTAAAGCAGTGGTTCTCAACCTGTGGGTCGGGACCCCATTTGGGGTCGAACGACCATTTCACGGGGGTCGCCAAACAATGCAGTCCGCCATTTTTCCCCCCTTTTCCTTAGCTGTGCTACTCCCTTTTATTCTATTGGCATGTTATGTGCATTCTATTGAATAGAGTCTAATTCTATTGGCTTTCAAAAGCCAATAGGAATTGTCCAGGCTGTCTCTGCCCTGCTGAGCCCGTCAAAAGTCCCATTCTGCAAACGGTGCTGCACCAGTTGAGTAGTCCTCGACTTACGACCGGTTGAGTAGTCCTCGACTTACGACCAGTTGGGGGTCGCGGCATTAAAAAGGTTGAGAACCACTGAGTTAAAGTATGGCACAGTATTGCATACCTGGCAGTAGAGGACCAGGTCCTCTTTTATTCTCAAGTGGTTGTTTTGAAATTTAAATATTTCCATATGTTAGGAAATTTAACTCTTTCCAGTTTTAGCTAACACAATAGAAAATGGTGGGGAAAATCTAAAATCTACGCTGAATATGCCTTTTTAGAGCTATATGATTCCTTGCTGTTACTTAATCTTACAAAAAAATGCCCCATATCTGTTACCATATTGCGTAGGTATTCCATATAGATTATCTAATAACAATAACATTTAGTTTTCATAGGATTCTTGAAAGTTAAATTAGCCATAATGGTGCTTTGGATATAATATTGATTGTATAATATGAAGGAAAGGAAAGAAGATAGGATATGTCTTCTTTATTTTGCTGTGTTCTATTTTCCTCTGCCTTGTTAAGCTCATTGTAGTTGGCTCATTGGCCAACTTTTTAGTAAGAATGCAGATTTTAAAAAACAATGATTTATTAAATTTAATAGTCTGCCCAACTCCCAGCCACTCTGGGCCATTTACAGTTATAAACATTTAAGAACAAAAATCAGTACAAAAACAGAAATATATTAAGATAGTATGTCTGTTCTTTAATCCATAGTGGAAGATCTAGATATACTTCTGCAGTAGGAACAAAGTAATTGTGAATAAGCTAAATGTTTGTGGGAGGTCTTTTTTATTTTATATTTTGTTTCACTTGATGCGACTTGAATTTTGTAATTTAAGATTCTGTACCTTTCAAGTTTCTGGGGTCTGATAACTTCATTTTCTACCACTAGAAATAGAGTTCAAGGTCCACAATCTGTATGACAAATATTAAAGTTTCCTACAAATTTCTTAAATAAATGATTAAATAAAATAGGTTCATGATTATTGTGGCCAATTTGTTAAGGAATTAATTTAATTAAGACATAATCTCCACCCCATTTTCAAATTTCTTGATAACATATGTGTGCACATAACACTTTTCCCCCTTGAATGATCTTTTATTTTGCTGTGAGGTATTGGTATATACTGATTGCCCCACATATGAAAAGCCACGTTATATGAATTTGTAATGGTATTTCTGTATTATAATATGCAGTATAACTTATAAAATCTTATAATTTGTTTTTTTAAGGTATTTTTCTTCCATTCTTTTCTTTGGCAGAATTTCATATTTCAGCAGAATTTTGCACAGATTCTGTTCCCATGCAAACTGATGAGGGAGAAATTTTGGAAGAAGGCAGTTCCAAGGTTAGTGAAATAGTAGAATGAGGTTGTGATAAACTTCATTATTTACTGTTCTTATATGAATTTGATTCCAGTTTGTAACTTGTTTTCAAATATTCCATGCACTGATGCAGATGAAATTTATTTAATTGACTCTAGTCTAGAATAGTACAGTTACAGAAAAAATTAGTATCCCATAACATTCTGATTAAGTAATTAGTTATAGGTGGGCTGAATGGTATGCTTGTACACAACTGGCAAATGAACCGTCTATCCTCTCTCTTGCAGTCAGTTTTCTCCTCTTTAGGTGCCAGAAGCACATGAGTTAAACAATCATTTGGCTGACAGGTTTTCAGTCCTCCCAGTACTACAAAAGAAATGTTACTAAAAAAAAATAATCTTGTACTGGTATAGTAAAGACTGGTTTCTTAAATATGCATTCCTTATTTTTGCCTGTATTATCCCTCTCCTCATGTAATGAAGGTTGAAAACTGAAACACAGAGGGATATGTCTAGAGAAGCTCTGTTGAAAAAAACTTTTCTTAAGACATTGTTCCTTCTGGTGTTTGTGACTGAGACAGTCAACTTTCTGATAAGCAATATATAAGTCAGGGAGAGAATAAGTTTAGATCCAATAAAGCTTGGGTAGGTAACTCAGTTTTAAATTCACTCAGGATTCTTATATCTTCTCCCCATAATTAGAGTTACCAGATATTTGAAAAGGCAAAAGGTTACACAGATAATTGGAAAGAAGGAGACATGGGAAGGGAAGAGGACGCATAAACTATTTAATGTTGACTGACAAGGGAAAGAAAGAAGCTGATAATTTACAAGGTCACAATAACCTAACCCTAAAAAAAGATTTTAAATGTTGGGCAATATTTGACTTGAATGCTATTTAAGGTTGTCAGTGATTCCTCGTCACACTGGACGACCATGGGGCTTCATCCAGATATTCTTCAGTATTTTTCTTCATTGTTTGGACAAAGTTAGGGAAGAAATATTTATCAAATTTGCAATTTACAGAATCAAAATGAAATGGGATAGATCAAACTCTAGAAAAGATGCAGCTCAAAATGCCTTTGGTTGGAGGAATAGCTTGAAAATAATGAAATTGTATAAGATAAATTAACATTCCTCATGGGGGGGAATTTAATGTATAGATAAAGAATAGGGGATGTCTGGCTCTATAAAGAGTTGTGGGGAAAAGAACTTAGAATTATAGTTGATCACAAGATGCATTGTGATGTTGCTTTCAAAAAGGCACATTCAGTTTTAGGACACATCAGCAGAAATATACTTGCCAAAAGTATGAAAAGCAATTCTTCTATTCTGTTTTCATAGATCAAATCCTGCTTTGAATATTCAGATAGCATAATATAAAAGAAAAAACTGTGTAAACTGGAATAGAAGTAAAGAAAGGACAATAGGGATGATCAGGGAACTAGAAACTAAGTCTTGGGAAGAAAGATAAAAAAAAATTAGGAATGTTCAATTTTAAGAAGAAAATAATGAGAGGGATGTATGTTTCAGGTATCTGAAATAGTGTTGCACCCAACATAGCTTCAATCCTTTACCCACTTACTGTCTTTCCAGTAAAGTAGAAATTGCTAGGACTAATTAGAGGTGGTCCTTGACTTACAACTACAATTGATCCCAATTTCTGTTGCGAAGCAGAAATTGTTAAATGAGTTTTGCCCCATTTTACAACCTTTCTTGCCACAGTTGTTAAGTGAATCACTGCAGTTGTTAAGTTGCATCATACTTATTAAGTAAATCTGGCTTCCCCATTGACTGCTTGTCATAAGGTCACAAGATCACATGATATGGGATACTACAATAGTCATAAATATGAGTCAGTTGCCAAGCATCTGAATTTTGATCACAAAATCCATGGGGATTTTACAATAGTCATTCAGTTTGAAAAATAATCATCAGTTTTTTTCAGTGCCATTGTAACTTTGAACAGTCACTAAACGAACTTTTGTATGTCGAGGACTACCTGTAGATATTCAGTTAATAACTTTTGTGGATTTGTAACATTGACATAAAAAGTTTAAGCTGCTGTGATAAACAACTTAGAATTATTATCAAATTGTTCTGTGTTACTTCTAGAGCAGCTTTGACAACTGTTTATTGCTAATAATTTTTGAGAGATTGCAGTCTCTAAAACCTGCCCTGTTTCCTTGAATTTGTGTTCTGATTAAACTTTAAATTTCTATAGAGTTTATTCTGTACTATCTAAAATTCACTCATGTGATAGTTGTATTAAGCCAGAAAGGATAGATACTGCCAGTGTGCAGGAATGCAAACAAAACACTTAGCTTGAAACATCTTAAAATATTCCTTTTTTTCCTGTGTTGTAGAAAAGTGCTGTGTTGAGATCTCAAAGTCATTTTCGAGACTGAGTAAAAAGGATTGCACTGTTCTTTATGGCAGGGCTTTTCAACAGGTGGTACGTGTACCACTTGTGGTACATTAATGAGTGGCAGGTGGTATGCAGCCCTGCCTAACCAAGTGTAGTGGGGGAGGGAAAGAGCAGCACAGGCAAGGACTTACAGTGAGAGAGTCCTTTGGAGCTGCAAAGGCCCCAGGCTCACTTCTGGCTCACCTTCTCCCATGAGAAAGGAGGAGGGGGGTGCAGATAGGCGAGCCTATAAAAGGAGGCAGTTTGGGCAGGAGAGGGAGAGAGAGAAAAAGCAGCAGCCTTGGGAGGAGGCAAAGTCAGCTGCACCAAAGGGGGAGGAGAAGAGGGAGGGGGAGGGTGGGGGGGAGAGGAGATCAAGCAGGCTGGCCATGAGCCGATCTACAACTGCTGTGGCAGCCACTTGTGCTGGCAGCAGCAAACAGGCAAGAAATGCAGTGGGGGAGGGGTCGCCCTCCAAGAGGAATGAAAAAAAGACAGCAGTGGCTGGAGGTGAGGCACGGAGAAGGGAAGGAGATGGAGAGTGGAAGGATTCTTATGTGCTTTTGTGACTTTGAAGTTCTGGGATTTATGCAATGAGGGCTTTGTGTTCTTAAGGAGTGTTTGGCAATTTCTATTTGGCTGATGGCTGATGTCTCATGTTAGCTTCTATTGCTCTGCTGTTAGATGTAAGTTTTGCTGCAAGGGATTTTGAAGTATTTTTCTCCTGAATGGATTTTGCCTGTAGCATTCCTTTACTTATGAATGGAGCCATTTGGGGAGGTTGCCTTAGCTGGCAGCCAGTACTTATGTTTTTTTTTCTTCCTTACGTGCTGCGCTCCTTACTTTTCTTTCTAGCCAGTAGCTAATTCTTAAAGGGGAATGTGCCTTTTTAAGCTAGTTCACTCAGCAGCTTGTCTTTTCTGTCTCTGGAGACCTTTCCTTGTTTGATCAATATATGGAAGAGGGAAAATATGGGGGGAGGTTTCAAATTCTTCCTTCAGAAGGAGATGGGAATGAGAAAAAGGGAGGCAGGGAAGGGAAGTCCCGCCTTAGCACTTGGCCACCAGCAGCTCTGCCATTGACTTTGCTTGTCAAAAGGTTGCAGAAGGGGATCACATGACCCTGGAACACTGTGACCATTATAAATATGAATCAGTTGCCAAGCATCCAAATATAAATCACATAACCCTGGGCATGCTGCAATGGTCATAAGTGTGAAAAATGGTCATAAGTCATTTCAGTGCAATTGCAACTTTGAACAGATTTTTTTTTTGATCATCAGGTTTTTGACACCTTGCTAGGCGGTACTCGAATATTGCCATATCCTAAAAGTGGTACAATTGGTAAAAAGGTTGAAAAGCCCTGCTTTATGGCATTGAGATTACCTTGTCTTAATGTATAGAATGTTATATTTGTGTACTAAGTTGTTTGTGGTCAATTGCTAATTTAAAGTATTTTATATTTTTAATCAGAACATTAATCTAACTGGGTTGATATTGTCTACTTGCATTAGCATAACATTGAAATTAGATATTTTCCATATAGGTAATCCTCAGCTTACAACCACAATTGATCCCAAAATTTCTGTTGCTAAGCAAGGCGTGAAGTGAGTTTTATCCCAATTTTTTCAGTGCCATTGTAACTTCAAACAGTCTCTAAACAAATGGTTGTAAGTCGAGACAACCTGTAATGATTTTCTAACTAAAAAGCATTGATATTTCATTAAAATACTCCTTCCTGTAGTCCACCAACTGGAGTAAATTGTATTAAGGACAGCGTAGTGTTGGAAGTCAAATACTAAAGATCAAGACCTAAGCTACAATAGACCCTTGATTTATAACTATTCATTTAACAATGATTCAAAGTTATGAAGACCTCAAAAAAAGTGACTCAAGATCTATCCTTGAAGTTACAACTGCAGCAACACACACAATCACAGTTTGCTTGCTTGACAGTTGCAGTGTCTTGTGGTCCTATGATCATGATTTGCGACCTTCCCAGCTAGCTTCTAAAAAGCAAAATCAATTGGGGAATCTGGATTTGCTTAACAACCTTGTGATTCACTTAAGAACCACGATAAAATGGTTGTAAGATAGGGCGCAGTCATGTGATGACTCGATGATTGCATTGTTTAGCAACCAAAATTCTGGCCCCAATTGTGATCGTAAGATAAGGACTACCTACACCAGGGGTCTTCAAACTTGGTCCTTTTATGACTTGTGGATTTCAACTCCCATAATTCCTCAGCTCCTGAGGAATTCTGCAAGTTGAAGTCCACAAATCATAAAAAGGCCAAGTTTGAAGACCTCTGACCTACACAGTTAATATCTCAGTGGCACTTCCATTCCACTAAATGAAGAGCTTTTAAAGGAAGTTAAATACTAGACTTGAACAGATAACATTTTATTATGTGATACAAAATAGCCTTAATGGTAAAGTAAAACAACTTTTGTAGAATCTAAAAAACTTTAAAACCTATTTCTTGCTCATGCCATTTTGTCATAACAAATTGTTTGCAGCTCTTTTTTTTCAAATTGTGGTCATATAACAGTTTCCCATACTCCTTGCTTCTTGACTTGTCCAATCCCATTAAAGCAGTGGTTCTCAACCTTCCTAA